TGGATCAGGAAAGCAGGGATATCTCCTGCATGCAGGAGCAAAGCACGAGCTTCTCCTGAGAACCTGTGGCCAAGAGCCCTGCTCCAGGAACCCAGTGGGAATAAAGCACAAGCGCTTCCTCAGAATCTCCATCCAACAGACCTGCTCCCTTTCCCAGTAACCCAGCAGGAACTGGGAAACACCTCCTGGCTTTCCATTCCAGGAGCCAGCCAGGGGAGAGGTGCTGTGGAGGATCCTCCATCACCCACCACCTCAGATGTGATGTGGGCAAAACAACATCACTCTTTGTGAGGACAGGAAATCGTGGAATCACAGGATGGTTTGGGATGGGAGGGACCATAAAGCCCATCCAGTTCCAACCCTCTGCCATGGGCAGGGACACCTTCCACTATTCCAGGTTGCTCCAGGCCCCATCCAACCTGCCCTTCAACACTTCCAGGGACGGAGCAGCCACAACCTCTCTGGGAACAATCCCTTCTTTTATTTAAAGCCTTTATTTGCTCAAGCCTCGAACAGATTTTGGAGGGAAGCCAACAAGAGCCCCAAGCCACCACAAACCCGGGGAGCTGAGGCACCTTTGATATCCCACTCTCACTCCTCCACTCCAGAAACAATTCCTGAGGAGGCAACTGCTCCCTCTCCCCAAGGTGGATCATTCCAAACCCACTCACCATGATGTTTCCCATGGGGCCGCTCTCTCCCTCTCCGTAGGTGGAGATGATGACGTTGACGTTCTCCACGATGCGCTGGAAGGTCTGGTAGAGCTCCTCTGGCTCCAGCTGCAGCTCCAGCAGTGCCCGGTCCATCTTGTTCATCATCAGCACGGGCTTGATCCTCTCGGCGATGGCCTGACGCAGCACGGTCTCTGTCTGCACACACACGCCTGCCAAGCACGGGGAGTGAGTTATCCCTGCCTCCAAACTCTCCCAAAAACTGCAGGGAGAGTCCCAGCTGCACAGGGAGGTGGCAAAACCTTACCAGAGACACAGTCCACCACGACCAGGGCGCCGTCGGTGACGCGCAGAGCCGCGGTGACCTCCGAGGAGAAGTCCACGTGCCCGGGGGAGTCGATCAGGTTGATCAAGAAGCCAGAGCCATCCTTGCTCTGCTTGATGAAGGCCAGGTCGTTCTCAGAGAGCTCATAAAACAGGGAAATAGCTCTGAAAGAAAG